CTTTATATATTCAAAAGAGCTCCGCACTTGCACTAGAACCCCTCACCCGAGGGACATGAATTTCACAATTTTGGTAGAAGACTCAAAGTTCAATATATTCATGCTAACAGTTTCAATGCTTGATGTCAAGGAGTAAAGAAGATTTTTAAAGATTTCATTACATGTAATTTTAGTGGTTTTGGCCTTACCTCTCAGGCCACAGGGAAACAGGGACCATGACATTCACAATGTTTGTTCCTCTAGATCTCCACCCACTGATGCCTTATGCAAAATTTGGTGGAAATTGGTTGTGTGGTTGCAGAGAAGAAGCTAAGATACATTACATAGGTAGACGTCCTGTCTCAAAGTACAATATGGACGTGTTTGTAGTTTTACGGACACCGAGTACATATCGTATAAACTCAAGATGAACCTTCTCAATGTCCTGGCCTTTGTGGGATCCCCAGACTTCACAGTCATAGTTTAAGATATTACACACATAGTATCAAAAATAGAAAACAAAGTACAATGATTTAGATAAAGCTGCTTCATTGTTGATTTGAGAGCGAACATAGCTTTGCGATCTTGTGATGCTAATTGTTTTTGAGCAATGAGGAATTTACAGTTATAGTTAAACACAATGCCTTCCTAAACAAAGAACTACGAACTCTCACTCTTGATTTCCCGCCTACATTTTGCACCCATTAAATTCAATTTTAATGGCAATTTGGCCATTAAATCTTTGTTTTATAGAAAGAACAGTTCTATGGTAATTGATTGACCAATTTAATTCCAGCGCTAGATCGTAAATTATCATTAATTGCAGCTCTTGAAAAAAGGGGGGTAGACGATATTTTCTAGTGAAATCGACTTTCAACAATCACCATATTTTGAAATAGTCTTAAATATGATAAAATGTATCTCATTTCTTTTCTTGTGTTTTACCCAAATAAATAAAACATAAATAAATTAATAAAATACAATAATTTAGTTGTAAATAGCTTTAAATTTGGTGAAAAATCAGCATTTTTTTTTCGATTTTTGTCTATAAACATATGTCCCCCCCTGTGAAACACAAAAGGCTTTAGCATAGATTTGTAAAATGACAGTCCATATTACCTGTAAAAAGGAATTTTTGTTTCACGGGGGGGGGGGGGGGGGGGGGGGGGGGGGGGGGGGGGGGGGGGGGGGGGGGGGGGGGGGGGGGGGGGGGGGGAGAGGTTTTAAAAATATTTTCCGTTTTCCATTGATTTCTACAGATGTATAGTGAAAAACTCAAGTTTTACCAAAATTATAGGGTTATCTCTCTTTGGTAGGGCTGGGCAATAATAACGATATTTCAATATCTTGCAATACAATGACAAAAAATATCGTATCGCAACACGATTTTGTAATATCGATATATTGGCAATATGCTTAGATTAAGGAATTTTGTCATTAAATATGAAAATAGACTTCTTAAAATTTGTTATTAAACCAAACAGTAAGTTAGACGTTGTTTGTGGGAACATTTCAGAGGCATAACTTAAATGAATTCAACAAGATTTTTTTTCTGTGTTGGTTACTTATCATAGCTATATACATTCTGCATGTAAATTAAAGTAAAGATAGGAAGAAAATGCCATTTTTATTACATTGAAAATATTGCAATACATATCGCAATACAGTTAAAAATATTGCAATATATCGCAATACGAAATCTCATGTCAATATAGCCCTACTCTTTCTATCTCAAATAATACTTTTTATTAAAATTAATATAAATATCTATAAAAATTTTGAAAATCATTCTAATATGTTAACTCTGACTTTGAGGTAGGCGGGAGAACAATACTATCGTTCGTGGTTCTTGGTCCACTATTTCTATTTTTTCTAGACAGCTAGACGGACGAACTGACGGACAGACGCAGAGGAAACCTATAGTCCCCTCCGCTTTAACCGGTAGGGGACTAAAAATATCACACTTTAAAGATGTAACACGCCTGGGGTTAATTGAAAGGTTCTTATATGTATTCTGCAGTGTTTTGATGTTTTGTATTTTTTAAATATATCTCGTATCAGGAAATAGACATGTTAAACTGTGTATTTCAGACGTACTTCAGTATTACAATTAACGTGATGTAAATTAATAATTAATAATTATCATTTCTGTTATATATTTTCTCTAATTATGCACGTGCCAGTATGATAAAAACTGGGGATTATACACAGGTGAAATTGCAACGTATGTTCAACATATGTTTTGAGAACCATATGTTGAACATAAGTTAAATATACGTTGAACATATGAATTTTCCACAGTATGTTTAACATATGTTTAATACATATGTTGAGCATATAGACGACTAAAAAAACATATGTTGAACATATGTTTGTGGTAACAATATGTTTAACGTATGTTCAACATATGATTATTTCAAACATAAGTTTAACATATGTTTTGAGTTTGACACTTTTTACAATAAAACATCTCCAACGTCAGGAAATGTTCAACAGCTCAATTCTCCTGCCAACAAAGTTTAGAGTTACCTTACATTTTATATAAATTATAAATTAAATTCGTAATAGACTAAGTTCCGTAACCCACATTTATTTCTGGGTTCACTTTTGGGTAGGTATACCATTCGTAGAACCCCTCCCCTCCGGCTTAGAAAGAAATCCTAGACCTGTGCCTGCTTTAAAGCTTAATTAAACGAAATTTATTGTATTTAAATTCTAAACAAAGGGACTTCAAGCAAAAAAAATAAATTCAAAAACATGCATCAAGATGAATTTTACTGATTTTTATTAACAAGAATGTAGATGATCATTTCGTGCAAGACGTTCTGCATAAAAAGGAAGGATTGTTACGTCTATTCCTCTGAACCTTCACGTGAAAGCAGTTCATTGATGATGTGTGGTTAGTAATATTTTTTTAATATATTATCAGGTACGTGGAGGGGGCAAGAAAAATGTATTTTAAATTTTTTACCGTTTTGATGCAGTATTGCTCTCGACCAATGGAATTTCACGATTTTTATCAGAGGCAGGATAATAGTTTATATCGGATGAAAGTGTACGTCACATTTGACGTCACTGCTGCAGTAGAAGTCTTGGGTGTTGGAAAAAGGTAAGTGCTCTCAGATATTTTTTAAAGACTTTTGGCATAGTTCATAGTGTTAAAATCATTTCATTACAGAGAAGCGAAGAAACTTTGTGTATAGCGCAGCATTCCTATCCACAAATACTGGTCTAATGCAGTTAATAAAAACCTAGATAGAACTTTCTATCGTTAAAATGATATTGTCCTACGGACCTATGGTGAGGGCTTGTACCGAGACACAGCTAGATTATTCTAAATAATAAAAGCCGAACCTGGTGATCAAATAAGAAAATTTGGATTTGTTTATGATAAATGAAAAAAAACATACGGATCCAGCATTACCAATTTTTCATGTAAATTTGTTTTCCTTTTGTTAAAAGTTATGCTTGCATATTAGACGCGATCTCGATATGAAAGTGAAAGTAGAAACATTGTGTAGCAGTTGAAGTAAAATGTTATATTCAGATCGTTATCCATAGGGTTCTTTCAACCATTTAATGAAAAATTGTTTTTTTTTATTAGGCCTATATATGTATTAAGCAACTGAAGTTCAGCGTCCCAGTGTCGTTTTTATTCAAAGAACCCAATGCTGATTTGACTGAGTGACGATTGAACAAAGTTATTGAACCAATGCCGATTTTATTGGCGATTGCGTGATGACAAATCAGGTACATACAATAATAATCATAGTGTTTACCAGTAATGACTATTCAAGGAAAGAATATTTCCTGAGAAAATTCTTTGTGTACATGTATATTAATTCATGATTTGATGGCTTTTAAAAAAAAAAATAATCCAACTCTTTTTTTACAAACAATATTCAAGCACATTTTTAAAAACCTGTAAAGTATGGAGAGAATTTCTGGCCATTAAACAACACAATATCCACATGAGGATAAATTTTCATCTAAAGCAGACATACAAGGCACTAGTATAAGTGTTCATAATTTACAAGTGTCAAAAGAACAATAAGAAAAAAAATGTGTGTGTTTAATTTTATGAAATTAATAAAATAGGCCTAGTACTGAAAAAACTAAATCAAAAAACTCCAACAAGTATCAGATAATTCATTGATTATTTATATATCAATTAATATTTTTATTTTTTTCAACACCAGAAAAACTATAGTCTCTGTTGTAGTTAGATATGCACATAATAAACTGCTACAGGTTCAATATACAGCCTGCCTTTTTCATAACGAATACATTGAAGAACAGACACCAAGACCCCAAGCTTGCTTCTAAATAGGTAAGTAAATACTCTTTCGCAAACTTAAATCTTTCGTTCCCATGAAAGTTTTAGGATATACTGTATTCAAAATGTCTGGGTTTTTTTTTTATTGTTTGTTCGTTTGTAGTCAAGGGTTATACATTTGTATCTCGATCATTCTGAATCATTCCTATTGCATTTTTGGAAATCTTTTTTTACTATTTAAACATTCCAAATTCGATTGTTTAAATTTTGAAAACGTTGTTGCTATTGCTTACATGTATAAGCTCACCTGAGCCTAAGACTAGAATGAGCTTTTCGGATTGAAGTCTGTCCCTTGTCTGTCGTAATCATTGTCATCGTAAACTTTTCACAATTTCTTCTTTTATATAGTTTCAAATAACATTATAAAAACTGAATTACTTTGTTTTTTTTTGCACTTCCAAGAGCTCAATAAGCAGAATCTTTACATTGTAGGCCTCACCCGTGCCTTAACATGAGAAGTTTTCAAATCATTTGACCATGCTCCAAAAGACTGATGAGATTTCTTAAGTGCTCAATGTAATTACTTTTTGTGGTAACACATTTTAATTAGTAACACATGTAATTATCATGACATTGGCACTTCTTAATTATTTAATTACTTTCTTCATCATTTCAGAAGCAATGCAGTCACTGTCAGGGAAGTGAAGGCAGAATTGGGGAAAAATGTGAACAATAAATGCAGAATTAATGCTTACAATTTTGTTCTTTTAATTTCTTATTGTTTACTTTAGACATTTAAGGAAAAGTTTAATATTTAGTTCATTTAGTTCACATTGCAATCCAAGGAAATACCAGTTATTAATAGAAAAATGTAAAGAAATAAATAAAATTAACATATGCAATAAATGCTGTTTTATAGCCGTTTATAAAACATATGAACATAGAGCGTCATGGAGCACTGCAATAAGTAAAAATTGTGTTTGCAGACTGGAAAATGTCTAAAATAAGATGATCATACAAAACATATTAATAACATATGTTAAACGTATAATCAACATATGTTTAGAAACATATGTTAACCATATCTTGCTTGTTTTTTTAATGGTGAACATATGTTTCGGAACATATTTAAAACATATGTTTAACATACTTTGCAATTTTACCCGTGTATGACTGAACTAAATAAATATTATCGATATTTCCTGTACATCAAGTCAGCTATCTTAGAAGTACCTTGATATTTTTATTGACAGTTAAGGTTGAAGATATATAAATCAATTATCTCTGTAATTCATTTTATTTACTTTTACAGGCGACGCTATGTTAGACACAGGGAGATCTGACAGAGATCTGTCAGGGATGTACTTCACAACCCCAGACAGAGACAATGACAGGTGTAGTGACTGTAACTGTGCTGTTGTCCGTAACCGTAGAGGGGGCTGGTGGTTTAACTTCTGTAAGTGGGCCTTCCTTAACGGTCAATGGTCCTCGGCAGACTGGGACAAACCTTGGTATCCTACAGTAAAGTCTGGATCGGCGATAAGGGGGACCATAATGATGACCAGGCGCCAATAGATAAACCTCACTAAATCCTAATAACAATCATTTTGCTTTTTTGTATTTCCGTGAAAATTTCTAATTGTTATAAGATTTCTTTTTAAATATCTTAATTCTGTGACGAATTGATTCAATTTTTTTTTTAATTTTTAACAGATGAAAGACAATCCTTCAATCAAGACAAACCCTTTTCAAAAGATGTTTTAAATTAGGCGAGAGAAATTATATTTTTCGTTTTACGGATCCGCCGACCCGATTTTTTCCGATTTCTAAAAAAAAAAACGGAAGATATCCACCCAGAAATCTTTATATATTTTTCTGTTTTACCAGAGTTGTCTTCCGCTACGCTCATTACACCCTGATTTTTTCCAGTTTTTGATTTCTAAAAAAAAAAACCCAGAATTTTGATATCGGAGTAAAAATTAAAATCTTAATTAAAAAATCCTTTTAAGATGTAACAAATTAAAATAAATAGGTTTGGTTTTAAAATTATCTTTATCAAATAGAATCTTCAAAACGTTTGACAATGCACTGAATGTGCAATTTAAAGCGTCTTATTCACACGGAGTATTAACCAACATGGAGACACAAGCCATGCTTGATTTGTTCATCAGTGTTATTCTGAAGATATTTGGAAATCAAAAGCATCTTCAGCATTCAGAAATGTCATAATTTATTTGAGCCCTACACTCTCAATAAGGGTTTTGGCCACTTAATTGCATTGCATTTCTAGGCTTCATTAAAGAGAGTTTTGTCAATAGTATTTTAGAAAGGTATGTAGTAACTTAGTTAGAATGATCTAACTGTGTCTCGGTACAAGCCCTCATCACAGTTAGAATACGTCCCATATACTTGCAATGTAGCAAATCGGAGCGGATCCGCTCCGAAAGGATTTTGAAGACTATATAAGGATTTGCACTGGAAAATAACTACCAAATTAATCAAAACAAACCTTTTTGAGATTGCTTATGCCTTTTATCCTAGAAAATAATCCATCTTAAGACGAAAATCCAATTAATTTTCTCAACGTTTTTCTCTCGCTTCAAATTTACCTGCCATGTTTACATTCAGGACTCTCTAAATTGTTCGTAGTAAATGCACTGAGTTATAGTGAGTACAAGTTATCGCCCATGTTTCTTTTGCTACATTACAAATACACAGAACGAATTCTATCGTTAAACCGGGTCTGTAGGACAATATCATTTTAACGATAGAACGTTCTATCTAGTAGTAACTAAGTATGGCTTCCATCATAATGAGTACCACTTATGCACAGTCTTCAATTAATCTCTTTATTCTCTTTGGGTTTAGTATGATCGAGTTTTGATATGAAGACCAGATTATTTAAGTGTTAGGCATGTTTACTTTAACCTAGAACTTTTGAAAAATAGTAAGCCTTACTTGATCACCCTGTCGTTTCAACATGTAATTGAAATAATACATATTGTTCATTTTAGTCTTTTAAACATCGATGAATTTTTTTATCACTGTATGGGTACTGCTGTTTTGAAAATCATATCCTGGCGTATTGTATTTTCGACCTATTAAAGGAAGAAAAAAATTCGCTTGATCCACCCATTCATTTCAATATTCACGCGTCTCTTTGACAGAGATCTTAATTTTCTTTCGGAAAAATGTCATCAAAAATCTTTTTAATTAACCGATTACGGCTTTGGTTAATCAACAGATAAAATGTGCATTAGTAAAAAGACTAGAATTTCTGACAACGGACTACAACCATCGAGGAAATTCCGTTGAATTAATTATTTTGGGTATTTTCAATACATTTGTGCTTCAAAGGTATTTTTCCATGTGCAGCAACCGAAAATAATATTCTACCGTGCGGTATCTGCACGGGAAGCAGATTGGGAAAATAGGCCGAAAATACAATACGGTCGAAAACGGGATACGAGACAATATTTTTTTAAAAAGATGATCCTTTCCGTTTTCAAAAATAGCTAGTTTCTTGCATACACAGGTTCAATTTCTTATTTATTCTGTTCGTATTCTAAGGCTTTCAAGGAGATTAGAAACAGGCAATGCTTTTACTAAACATTGGCGGTTCAGTACTTAGTGAAAGTAGTTTATTAAACCTAAATATTCTATCAAATTTGTCTCCAGCAAATAGTTTGGTCGGTACAATTGTAATTTCAGCCTGGTAAAAAGTACCAGGTATTGGCAGAATTTAAAAGGCCTAGCTGATATCCTTCATTTTGTGTCTTCAAAAGTAATTTTTATCACAAGCTTGATAGCTAGTATTTTACTTGGATGATAATAGGACCCTAAAGACTAATGATCTTTGAGAAATGTACATATTCAGTACTGGAAAGTGTTAATAGCTAAAGTTACATTATAGTCTGAGTATCTGAAAAAATTGTCTATTTGTATATTGGCATGTCCAAGAAATTGACACTGGTATGTGAATTTTTTTTTTTATTTAAGTCAATCTTTAATGTTTATGATGAGTTCATGTGCCTACCTGTAACACACAAATTACAACAAATGGCTAAAGACATAAAGGTTTGATCAAATTTTAATTGAATAATAAAAAATATCTGTCTCTCTCTCTTCCTTTTTTTTCCTCCTCCTACCCAATTTTTTGAAAAAAAAAAAAATCCGTAAAACAAAAAATTAAATTTCTCTCGCCTTAATCATTATTCTGGGTTCATTTGTTAAAAAATATTGCTTTGACATCAAGTGACAAACTTGTAAATAAACATGTTTTGGTAAAGGAAAGAGGGCGGGGGGGGGGGGGGGACTATTCTGTAAAGCAATAAATCATTGTTGGTTTTTTTTCTTCTGAATTTATTCAGTAAAAGATATGTTTATATATATTATATGTGTTGTAATAAATTTGAAATTAGAAATATTTCGTTCTTTTTACAAACACTGATAGAGGAAGATGTCTGGATGGATACGTGAAATCACCATTGTTCAGGGGGGGGGGGGCGCAAATGTTCGTGGCTTTCGTGGGTAGTCTTGACCCACAAATTTATATCCACACGAAAGTATATACTTACACCTGTTTTTTGGTTTGTTTTTTAATTAAAATTTATGGTTACGCAGTCAAATTTATATCTTAAAATAACCATTTCCTTTGTGTCCATGAAGTGGACAATCTGTTTGTGGTTATTTGAAGAAAAAAAAATATTATGTATCAAAGACATCCATTTGAACTCTATACAATAGATGATAAAATTATATATGATTGAGTAAACTGTTAAGTAGTGGGACTATTACGGTCCAATACGCTCAAATGCCCGTTTAATGGGATTATTTTTCATTAGGATGAATTGTATTAGGGTAGACGTTTTTAACTTTAATTCTCGTGTAGAAATATTTTCTGTTGATGTTAAGACACTGCGCGATGGGCATTTTGAAATGAGATGAGTGAAGTAAACTTCAACAGAAAATATACTCACCTCTGAGAGGAATAACACATATGAAAATGACTGTTGCTTGGATAATCTTGCAAATGATATCTTTTATGTTTACAGGAGAGATATCTCCTAATCATTTTAATTGGGCAACATTGTCGGATTTAAAAAAAAATAAAAAAGAATAGAGCTCGTTACAATGTATCAACGAAATAACGTCCTCCCAAACCAGGAAATTTTTGGCTGCCAACGGACAATGACCCCAATGAACAAAAATGATTCCACAGTTAAAAGGGTGTAGATTGCTTTATTGTTAAACGTATTACAGTGGAACTTGTTTATTCCGACACATATGTAATATGCTTCTTTATGATTACCGCCATTTAATTTCATTCATCATTTCTACTTATTTCAATGATCTTTACACGTTGCAATACTACACCTTGTTTATTCCAACACATACATTTGTAATCTGCTCTCCGCGCATGTCGGATAAGACAGGTTCACTATATTGAACATGTTATGATATTTATAAAAAAAATAGGTTTATTTAATGTTCATGTTTTGCAGTATAATAAATGTACGTCTACAATTATGCCTTTCTAAAAGCACATACCTTTCCTTTTCCATCCATACAGTACTTTGAATGGATTACCATTTATTATTCATCAATCTACTAATCTACCAAAAACCGCTTAAATGGATATTATTGTTTTTTAATCATGTAGAAAATAACTAATAAGCTAAATAGTTTAAGTCAGACGAACTGAATATACTT